AGTACCACGCTGTGAGAAGAGCAGGAGGAAGTCTCTGGAGTGGTTTACCTCTTGGAACCATGGTTATCTTAGGATGGAGAAAAGACAATGTTAAACTTTTTCATTTGTTTATCAAAGGATGAAGTAGTGAAGTGCTGGTGATCTATAAAAGTCAAAGAAGGAAACAGTCACCAAATCATAATGAGGAAATAAAGCAGTGGCTATGAGGATAATTAGAAGGTCATATGTGGAAAGCATCCAGAAAACATCTCTAAAACCTGGAGGAATCCAAGAAGAGTTGGTGGAAAACAAACGCATCAGTCAGAGCCAGTCTTGACAATGCACTGGCCATGAAGATTGGAAGCTCCATGGTATAGCTTCCACAGAAGTGTTAGGCAGTATGAACCACTCCTTTGTTGGTTTTTATTCTAACACACGAGGTATGAACTTTTTGGCCCTAATTCACATGTTGAGTTCTTCCAAAACTTGCTAGGGAGTTGACATTGGTGGTGCAAATGCCTGCAAAAAAGGTCCATGCTTTATTAAAAAATAAAGTTAAGGGTAAATGTGAACAAACTCAGCCTGTCATAAATTGTACATATCACAAGGCATGACTGAGTCATTAGAAAAGACACTAAAGACACTAAAGTAAAGTGGAAAAAGTGGGAGACTGTTATAGGTAGATTGATTCAAGCAAGAGTCATTGGCTTGAGTTTGCAAGACTTGAGTAGAGCAGTTGATGACCAGGGCTTATTGGTGAGAATCGATAAGGTCACCACTATGTCGAAGTCAACCTGACAACAAGTAACAACAGAACAATTTGTTTACCCAATGTACTAGATAGAAAAATGACTTTAACCATGCTGACTTGATGCCATCACAACAAGAGAGAGCAACGTCATGACATCATCAAGCTCACACAGGACTATGGACAGGGGAATTGGCTCCCACCATTTCAGTTTCTGGTTTTCTGCAAGGCAGGGAGATAAAGGCAATGGGAATGAGAAGCTAAGTTTTCCCCACATACAGTTCTTGCTAACTGCACAAAAGGCAACACAGCAGCCCTGGGATATTTCAAAGCAGCATGACCCATAAAGGCTCTTGAGCAGTCAACTGGCAAAGTTTGGTTGTCACATCTGAAAATGTTTATTGTTCAGAGAAGTTTGTAACACCTAGTTCAGCCTGTTCAAGCTTTAGAGAGGATGAGAGCCAGATTTATCAGCCAACTGCTAGAATGGATCAGTAAGGAGTTGGTGGAACTTGTTCCTGATGACATGTGCATTCCCTCTTGTCCATCTTTGCAGTTTTTTTGTTAAGATGCATATTCTGAAGTTGAAAATAAGAGCTCCTGTACAAGACTTTCAAACAAAGTCAATTGCAAAAATAAACTTTGATTTATCATCCTAAGGACAACAATGGGTAGAAACAGCTCAAACCTTCAGATACCAGACTATCAAATTATAAAATTAGTGCAGAGATAAATAATGGGCTTGGAGAGAAAAAGAGCATAAACTGGAACAATGTTGGCTCATCCTCAATAAAGAGTAGGCAAGGAAATTGGAACATAAAAATAATTAAAACTAAAGACTGGAAGGGAACAAAGAAGATGATGATGCAGGATTGAAGAAGACCAGAAATAATATGGAAGATAATTGGGAAGTGGAAACCCCAGAAGAAGGAATAGATGGGAAATTTGGATCACACTCACTGTACAAGGAATCTAGAGACAGAGTGAGAAGAACTGGCAGAAAAATGAGTCCCAGAAAGGATCACGTCTGATCCAACACCCACTTTTGCATAGGAGCCAACAGCCAAAAGCAGTGTCTTGTTGTTTCATATGGGTTGAACATACCAATGTTGCATTCTTTTCTGGAGTTAGGAGAACTTAGAGGAAGATGTCCAAAGAGAATCCAAAAAGGAAGTTAAACGATACCACCGTTATGGTGCATTTGGATGTTGATATGCAGAGGAATCAAAATGAAAACATCGCCCTCTCAATAGGAATTCTGCCCCACCCATGACCTTTCCTTCAGGTCCCCAAAATCTAGCATTGCAGTAATTTCAAACTTCCAGGATATGGTGCCTTTGGAATATGTAGGCTTCAGAAATATAGGAATTTCCCAAAAGACAATTTTGCTGTTGGAGAGACTTCCTGGTATAATTCCTTTGAGTTCCTATATGGGGAGGTAGTGATCGTGTGGGGAGGAGAAGCCCAGACGGCATTGCAGGCTGCATGTCCCAAGCAGCCTTCATTACTTTGCTGTGATCGGATTAAAGTTCTGAGGAGGCGGTGATAATGCTGTGGTAGTGCTACAATGCTATGCTATCATGCCTTATACTGGGGAAAGATTGTGCACCAAACAATGCCAAAGGGGCAGCAATGCCTTTGGTGGTGGGTAGGCAATCCAAACTATTATGTGCAATGGTTTTAGAGCAAAAGGATATTGCATTCCCACAATAGTTCTGGAGATGCAATTGGAAAGAAAGTGATCTCTCTTGAATATTGGTACAATGGTAGAAGAGGCTCTAGGTGAAGATCAGAATACAGAGGACGTAGCACAGAGGCATGAACTACTATAACATGGTTCAAGATGGCATAAAAATTGTTCCTTGATACTTACACTAGCAAATGTGACTGTTTCTACTTCCTATGCCATTGAGATAATATGGTCTTCTACATTTTGGGCATGGTTCTGGAATACACATGGGGGTCCAGTGTTTTTTCAAATCTAATACAAACACAAACTTGTATGTGGACTTTTTTGGAAAATAAAACAACCTCAGCCCTTTAGTCCACAATAAAAGGATACTAAAACAGGCTTACTGGCTGGCATTTTAAATCCACATGAATGGTGTTTATTTCCTTTCCCCTTGGCATTTGGTTGCAATACTATAAAGATGTTGGGAATTTTTCTGCTAAAATCTGGGATACTCTAAGAGTTGTGTAAACATGTAGAGAAATATTCAATAACTGCACATTTTCCCCTCAAGAGTATCACCTAAGATGGGCTTTAGCACAGCGGGTTAAACCGCCAGCTGCAGAAAATCTTGCCGAATAAAGAGTTGACAGTTCAAGCCTGGGTTGGGGTGAGCTCCCAACCATCAGCCCAGCTTCTGCTCGCCTGTAAACAGCAATGTGAGTAGATAAATAGGTACCGCTTTGGCGGGGAGGTAATAAAAGGTGGAAATGCTGACAATTCGATCAGGAGAGCATCTAAAAACAACCAAACTCCTTGGCGTAGAATATGGAGCGACAGCACCACCCCTTCTCCAACCACAGCCTCCAGATGCTGGAGATGGGAAAAGATGGAAAGACTTTACCTTTATTTATGTACTGTCTTTGTTAATTGTATAACGGCATTGAACATTTGCCATATATGTGTATTGTAATCTGCCCTGAGTGTCCTCAGGGAGAAGGGCGGAATATAAATAAAGTTGTTGTTGTTATTATTATTATTATTATTATTATTACTATTATTATTTTCAAAAAAGATAACTCATAAGTGAGAGCTAATGTTTTTGAGTAGCTCTGTATACTTGTATAATGCATCTCCTTACACATTACTATTCTTGCTATACTCATAAGTCTGTGAAATGCTAAAGGAAAGAGAAATACTAAATGATCTTATTATTGGTGGACAAGATGAACTCTGGATAAGCAAGGGCTCCTTCGTACTTTTCCACAGTAAGAGAATCTCTGTAGTAACAACTGAATACACCTGGAGATCTCCCAAGAGTAATGAGCTCCTTTCCTGCTTATGGCGAGCGATGGTTTCTTAAGCATACGTTTTACTCCAATTTTGGGTAGTCGAGGGATTTTTAGTGGGCATACATTGGATGCGGAAACATAGTGATACGAATGAAAAGTCACAATTGGTTTTTTAAAATCACATTGGTCAAAATAAGGTAACTGGTGAGAATATGGCAATGGCAATGGCTTACCGATGAAAACATAAGTGAGAAATATGAATTACTGTTTACACTAGGAAGAGCAAGTGATAGTGCCACAAAGGCATGTGTTTTAGTAAAACAAAATAGATGCTGCAACAATGCAGGATTTGTAAAACATAACAATGTGTACAGACCTCTTATGGGAGGGATATATGTGTGCGTGCGTGCCTATAATCAGAACCAGATTCAAAATATTTAAAGATGATTGTATTCACAATTTTTTGATAAAACCTATCTGTCATACAGAATATATAAAAAGAAGAACAGTTCTTGTCTCGGTTTTCTCTCCAACCCGACAAAACACAAAAAAGAGGATCCCTCAAGCCAGGCCTTCTGTTGGGATATGATTTGCACACTACTACTAGTAGTAAATAAATAAATATAATAAATAGATATGGTGATGGCATGTGCCTGGATCTGTACAACAGTTTCTGATTTTGCTCCAACTCCGCATGTCATAATGGAGATTAGGTATTTCCAATTCACCTATCACGTTAGGCATTTATTTATATTTTTTGGAGGGGGGCGGAAGGAAATTGGGTAGGTGGGACTATTGGAGGAGGGGGTGTCACACACACATATACACACAAAGGGAAGGAGCTGCATATCGTTTCATATCTGAGTTTGTTTTTGTGATTGTAAGCAAAACAGGAAGGAATGGTTGTGAGGCGAGAGTCCCGTTTACAGACAGATATGAATGACTTAAGATGTCGTCGCCAACTGGTTCACCATTTAGTCTTTCCACTAAATGCATTCTGGACAGGAGGGGAAAAGGAAAGGTGGGAGAAACATCCAGATGGAAAAGAAAGGTTCCCTCAGTTGAAAAAAAGAAAGAGAGAGAGAAATCTTTGCTCTCGACAGAAGACCAAAGACACTTTCTCCCCCCAGGGACAAAGCGTTTTTTCATTGTGATATAAATAGGGAGCTTTCTGGGTCTTTAGGCTACTAAATAGGTACACCGAAATGCCCCCATGAAAGGAAACCCATTGGCCTTCTCTTAAAAGCTGCTTTTTCTCCCCGAGGGAAATTACAGAGTGTGTCAAATGAGGACACGCCAAGCTTATGGTATGTACTTTTAAGCAATATTTTTTTATTTTTATTTTTTTCAATTAAGGGGACAAAATGGGTGAATGAACAGGGTAATGCAGACAACTGCCCAATTAAAAAAAAAAAGACACGCCTCCCCCCCTCTGAAAAATAACACAAGACAGTGGTTTTCCCAATAGAACTTAACAAAGACTAGGAAAAAAAATACAATAAAGAACCAGGTTGCAAATGACCTTTGGTCATCTAAATAATAATAATAAAAAAATAAAAAAATAAAAAAACGAAAACGAAACAAAAGATCAAATCTGACGCCTCTGTTCTGAACAGAGCGCATAAGCAATAATAAATAGTGACTTCCATAGTAAAAGATAAAATTTCAAGTTACGACAAACAGCTTTCATTACAGGAATAGAAAAGGCTGAGAATAACAAAATATTTTGCATTGCCATATACAAAAAAGGTTATCGACTCCAGCGGGGCTCTCTCTTTCTAATATGCTTTGCATATGAAATCCTTTCCCAATCTAAATATATAAAGCACCATTTTAGGGTTTTTTTTCTCTTTTTGGCAATGGAAAAAAAAACCTGCAAAACTTTTAAAATTTTTTCCCTTTCATTCTATTTTTTTTTTGTTTGCTTTTTTTCTCTCCTTTTACTGCATATGAAGGTTTTTGTTTTTAAAACGATGCTGGAATGTAAAGGGGTAAAGAGAAGAAGAAAAGAGACCAAAGATCACACTACAGAACAAACCAACATCATCACCTTGCATTATTACTGCATACAATATGGCAGCAGAAAAACAAAGAAACCCCAAAAGAACTTTTGATATGTACAACTATCTGCAATGCTCGTTCAGTGCGACATTCAAACAGATTTTCTTTTAATTTTTGCCCCAACCCACCCCAAAAAAGCAGCCATTATATGGCCTCTTATTCGTACAATGTCACACTCTTGTCCAAAAAAATTTTTTTTTTTGAAACATACAAATATTTTTGCACTATATTATCCTGCCAAATTAAAAAAATATACTGTGGCAGCCTGTTTGTGTGTCTGTGTGTGTGTCTCTGTGTGTTTTTCCACTACCAAAAAAGGTATATTGAGACCTTTTTTTTTCTTTTTTCAAAGAGAAACAAGCAACAGTTAAAAATACAAGCTTCATTATAAATACTATAGTGCCTACTCTAGGTGAACATTAAATTCAAATACCATTCTAGAAATTACAGAAAAAAGAGACCATAAATGCGTTTTTTCTTCTTTTTTGTTTGCTTTTTCTGCTTCTTCTTCTTCTTCGCATAGGAACCAACAGGCGTGTGCATTTCCTATATTTAAGTACTATATATTCTTAAAACCTTTTTTTTCCCCAATGCATTTTATTTTACAACCTGAAACGTTGTGTGTCTATCCCCAAGGCATAAGATTTGCAACTACTGGTTTTTCAATGAAGAACAGGTCTTGTACACCACCAAGACAATGAAACCTAAAATACATATTTCCCCCCCTAAACATAACAAAGTGTTTCTTTTATAAAAACAACAAAAGGAAAAAAAATCATAACATTTATATTTCAAAAAAGTTTTGTACAAAAAAAAGAACCACATCCTTGCACTGTAGGAGCGAGAGCAATAATTCGTTATATATTTTTTTAATATAATTGCAGAACCTGTTCCCATTCACAGCGCCGTAATGTTGCGTCCCAGTCATTTAAGTCAAGTACAAACGGCAAGCTGGCAAGAGTTTCTTAAGATGCTCATCACCGCGAGATCGCGTTCAATTTTTTTTTTCAACAAAAAAATTTTTTTTTCATTAATCTTGCAATTTTTCCCTTAAAAGTATAGAACCTGTAAACTGGGAAAATTGTACAGTGCATTTCAATTGTCCTATCTGAGCAGTCTTAAAAAAAAGTTTCTTTTTTTTTATACTCAACCTGTGTACCTCTGATTAAAGGAAAAGATACAGACACGACAGGCCGAGTCAAGTGCTATGTGAACATCCAGCGGGGCAGATGCTAGCTTACTCATAAAAACAATGAATCCTTTTTCCATGTCAACACAACTAGCATGTGGCATATGCTCAAACGAAACAAAATGGAGAACGACGTTTTAGGGAGCACAGACATACACTGCTACTCTTTTTAAAAAATTAGCTTTCTTTTCTTCTTTTTTTCTTCTTCCAGAATGTCACATACTTCAAGGCAAATCTGAATAGCTCATAGTTAATCATCATACCAATATTAGCTTATAACCTGTTCTTAGTTTTAAATGGCAAACAGTACCACGTTGTGCTAATAAATCATTATATATTATTATTATTATTACTATTATTATTTTTTGCACTACTGTGTTACATCTCAGTAAATCATTATTGCTGGGCTGTTTAATATGTTCTTCCCTAGACGGAGAGATCAATAGGTTGGACGTTTCTAATATGATTTCTAATAAGTTGGCAACCAACTGGACCTGGAGTTTGTTATATTAATTCCTCTTCTTTTGTGTTTTTTAGCGTTCTGTTTTCAATTTTTGTGCCAGAATCATCAAGATTTTTGAAAAATCTCCACCTCATTTAAATTCCCCCTGGTTTGCTTAATTATCTTCAAGGACTTCTGAAAATTTCACAATTTTTTTAATCATCAAAATAATAATTTTGAATCTAGTTTGTTTAATTATCTTCAAGGACTTCTGAAAATTTCACAATCTTTTTAATCATCAAAATAATAATTTTGAATCTAGTTTGTTTAATTATCTTCAAGGACTTCTGCAAATTTCACAATCTTTTTAATAATAATTTTGAACCTGGGGGGGCAATGGAAGAGATGTTGACAAGCTGGAATGTATCCAGAGGGGGGCGACTAAAAAGATCAAGGAGAACAAGCCCTATGAGGAGCTGCTTAAAGAGCTGGGCATGTTTAGCCTGAAGAGGAGAAGACTGAGAGGAGACATGATAGCCATGTATAAATATGTGAGAAGAAGTCATAGGGAGGAGGAAGCAAGCTGGTTTTCTGCTGCCCTGGAGACGAGGACGCAGAACAATGGCTTCAAATTACAAGAAAGGAGATTCAATCTGAACATTAGGAAAAACTTCCTGACTCTGGGAGCTGTTCAGCAGTGGAACTCTCTGCCACAGAGTGTGGTGGAGGCTCCTTCTGTGGAGGCTTTTAAACAGAGGCTGGGTGGCCATCTGTTGGGGGTGCTTTGAATGCAATTTTCCTGCTTCTTGGCAGAATGGGGTTGGATGGCCCACAAGGTCTCTTCCAACTCTATGATTAAGACAGGGCCACACTGGGGGAAAGGGCACGAGAGAAATATTCTCTGTAATGGTAGGGATTGTTTTCAATTCTCAACTGCAATCAAATCAATGTGAGCGATGCAACTATTTTGTATTTTTTGAGAAGCGAAAGAAAGGGGAGTGTGGGAAGTTTGAATGATGATTAACTAGGACTTCATGGGTTGTCTTTGTGAAATTCCTTTCGTTTTTAGGTAGCCGCTGTCGTGAGAAATACAATAGGGAATTATTGGCTAGGTCCTAAAGGACTCCTTTTCCATTGCCAAGTGCGAAAAGTTGAGCTACAAGTTTAGAACGAGTAGAGTTGCCACACCAACATGGCTTAAATAGATTCAAGGCACTCAGAATTGCAATTTAAACCAAATGATAGTACACATTTCAAATCTCGTTTCTGTCCTCATTTTTCAATTAAAGGCCTATATTTTTTTTCCTTTCCTTCCCTTCCCCTGAAGCCACAAAAAGAATTGATACGTTAGATCCTTTTAAAGACAGAGATCAAGCTAACAGAATGGATTTTCCCCTTACTTTTTCAGTGTGATCTATCTGTCCATAAAGAGTTAATTCAAAGTACATCTTCCTCTATATGATTCAAAACCAAATATGTGCATGATATGTGTTTGGAGAATGTATGCAGCACGGTTGATTAACAAATAACGTTTTTCTTGTTTGGTTTTTCTTTTCTCTCTCTTTTTTCCCCTGGAATAATTTTTTCTGTTTAACAAATTTTTTTCTTGTTTGGTTTTTCTTTTCTCTCTCTTTTTCCCCCTGGAATTTCTTTTTTTTTTTTTCTGAACAGCCATGGTACACTTTCTTATTTGTGCGTGTGTGCATGCTTGCGTGAGCGTGTGTATGTTTTGTGTGTTCGTTCAGCTACGAATTCGGGGACAATTTAAAAATAATAATAACAGCCATAACCATAGCACACATGCTGCCTAATTTTTTTTCAAAAAAAAAATTAATAAACATACACAACATGTAAATTATTGCACAAGAGAAAGGCTCAAAGTTTGCGTAGTATTGCCCCATTACAGATCATGCATTCAAAATGGTGAAATCAGAAAAGAAAGGGGGAAATAAAAATATTTTAAAAAAGGAAAATGAAAACAGATGTGCTGGTGACAAGCACTTTCTTAACATCATCCTTAGCTTCCATTATTTTACTCACAAGGGACTAGAAAATCTCTATATTGGGGGGGAGGGGGGCGAGGAGAGGGTAGATTGGGGGAAATTAGGAGAAGGGGACATGTTAATATACCACTATTCAGTTTTTATGTCATTATTCAAGACTCGATCACTGTGCCATTTTTTCATGTGTTTTTCCAGGGTACTGTACACGCTAAAAGGCATCTTACAAATTTCACATTTGTAAACGTCCTTCCCCACCTGACCATGCGTTTTCATGTGCCTGGTGAGTTTGCTACTCTGGGCGCAGGCGTAGTTACACAGCTCACATTTATAAGGCCTTTCCCCAGTGTGGCTCCTCCTGTGGACAGTGAGGTTACTACAGTTCTTGAAGACTTTGCCACAGTACTCACAAGTGTCGCTGCGTCTGCCCTCTTTTGAACTAGGCCTTCCAGGGCCTGGACCACTAATATGCGGGGTGCTCCCTCCACTTCCTGTACCGCTTCGGCCTGATATCCCTCCATCCATCTCCCCAGGAGGCGTTGAGAAGCGTAAACTTCCGTTTTCGGAGGAGTGTTCTGAGGAGGAAGCAAAAGGCGATTGTCGGGAGTCTCCAAAGCTGAGGAATGGATCTTTCAACTGCCGAGAGGCAGCGTACCCAGCGAGCCACTGGGAGTAAACATTTTCAGTGTTAGGCATAGCTGTTGCTGGGAGGTCAAACTCCTTCTCAAGTTTGATGCGTTTGGAGAAAGGGCTTAGGGAGCTGGGACTACCCAAGAGCAGCTTTTTGGACAAACCTCCAGAAGCAGACTCACCAGGGGAACAGCCCCGGCCATTCATGGCGCCGTCGTCGATACGATCAGATTCACCAGCTACCGAGTCTTCATCACAAGTGTCTCTGTGCACCTCAGATTCGGACAAATGCCCTCGTTTATGCTTCTCACCAAGAACTTGATGGAAGGCCTCGCTGAAGTGCTGCATGGAACTCAGGACCATTCCCTGCATGACATCGGGCATAGAGCGATTCTCCTCAATCGACCGGGAGTTGTTTTCATGGTGACGAGCTGCTTCTAGGTTAATGGCAAACCCATAGTCCTGCCTTTCATTTTCAGTCAAATCTTCCTCTTCTTCCTCCTCTTCCTCTTCCTCCTCCTCCTCCTCTTCTTCCTCTTCTTCATCCCCATTTTCTGGAATCATGTTAGAATCGTTCTCGCTTTTGAACTTGGCCACAACAGATTTGAGAGCACTGCTAGCACTGCCGACGAGGTCACTGGTTCCTGGCTCTGGGGAACTGGCTGTGGAGAGGCCGTCGTCTGACTTGACGGTCATTGGGGAGGACTTGTGCATATGGGTTTTCATGTGACGCTTTAGCTTGCTTGCTTGAGTACACGCGTGGTCACAAAGGTTGCACTTGTACGGTTTTTCTCCAGTGTGGCTCCGACGATGGACAACTAAGTTGCTCTGAAACTTGAAGGTTTTCCCACAAAATTCACAAGACTTGGATTTGATGGGAGGCTGGGAAGGGGGAGGAGCAGACTGAAGAGGAGGAAGAGGTGGAGTTGCCAGAAATGGGGGCTTGCTGCCTGGCTGGAATGGTTGTAGTAACCTTTGCATAGGACTGGGACGGTTCGGTGACAATGGCGGACTAGAGGTATTTCCAGCTAACTCCCGAAGCCGCCTGGAAAAATCCATAGCTGGGGGCTCTATGGCCATGGGGTTGAGTCGCAGCACCCTGTCGAAGGCACTGGGGTGATGGGTTGCAAGGGCCATTTCTTCGGCACCCAGACGTTCTATGCGATGGGGGTCCAAGTGATGCCTTGGAGGGGGACTAAACAAAGGCGGTGTGGGAGGGAAGCGTCCTTCTCCAAGACCTGATGCTTCTCTCGCAACTGACCCAGGTATTCTGAGCAGATTAAAAGGGTTATTGTCTGCAATGTGAATCCCATGGAGTGGCGGCTGAGAAGGGCATTCTGCACCTAGTCCTGATGGGATACCAACCCGTGGCGTCAGGGGACTTCCATGTTCACTTTCTAAGTAGATTCTTAATCCATGAGTGTTCTGTGCGTGTTGCAAAAGAAACCAGGCGCTGTTGAATGGCTGTTTACATGTCGTACACGTGTAGCTGCTGGGTTCATCTTTACCTGTAAGACAACACAATGGTAGCATCATTGTTTCAACTGTCAAATTAGCTTTCTTACAAGTTATCAGAAATTAATATAGGCCTTATTGGACGAGACAGTAGATTTATCTAATACCACATCCTGCTTCCTCCAATTGGGAGCCAGATGCCTTCTGGTAGCTTCTAAATTAGCTATGAAGGCCATAGTCCTCTCTGCTGTTGTTCCTGGAACCTAGCATTCAAGGCCATGTCAGCTCAACTTGGCCAATTTTAGCCAAAATAGCAATAAAATGTTTCCAAGCTTTGTGGAGGATATACAAAGCTATAAGGATAGACATCTCTTCCATAACTTTATCCCATCTTCTTCTAATGTAGTGATCCACAAACTCTAGTCCTCCAAGTGTTTTGGATTTTACCTCCAGATCATTGGCCAACAAACTGAGGCTGCTGGGCATTGGTGTCCAAACACCTAGAGGACCAGAGTTTGGGAATCACTGTTCTAATGTGTTAGCCCTGGATTTCTTTTAGGTCCACAGCTAAAACAATTTATTTATTTATTTCCAGTATTTCTATCCCATCCTTCTCAACCCCCGAAGGGGGACATATCTTATGGCAATGAATTTTACACATTAAGTATGCATTCTGTGAAGATGGGTTTTATTTTCTCCAGTCCTGAAGCTCTGTGAAGCTCCTTTACTGGAGGAAACACAGCCATCTAGGGTTGCCGGTTTTCAGAGCTATTGCAAACCTTGAAACTTCACAGCCAAAACCCGAGATCTAAGAGGACCTTGTGAAGAAGGAACAGAAAGCAGGCCTAGCTACAAGGGTTAAATTACATGGAGCAGCCCCAGTGACGTCTGTAAACGTAATACCTTAAGCTTTAACTACAGCTGTGTGAAATATGCTGTTCATATTAATAACAAAAGCAAAAGCAAGTCTAACAAATAAGGAAAATACATATACACAACATTTTAAAGGAAACTTTCTCACTCTAAGATTCCTTCCTCAACCTACCTTGGTGACTGGAGAAGAGAAGCAAGGTCCTGAGACCTGGGGACCTGACACACATCTCCCACCCCCCGAATTCCAGTCTTACAAGAAGGATTACCTTTCTTTCTCCAATTGTTCCTTGTCAATCATAATTTTATAAACAACTTTCTTACACACTGGATAATAACAGGGGCTGCTCATTTTAGCTCTAACTGTGTTTATGGTACACCAGGCCTCACTCACTGCTCATGCATACCTCCTCAAAACATTATTCATGAGAGAATGTGGCCCTTAATAGAAAAAAAATCATTTTGCAAGATGTGTTTCATAAACCATATACTACAAAGCACATAAAGGCCCAACTGTGATTTTCCCCATCTCTACAGAAAGAATTTGCTTGGATGGCAGTAACCCAATTTTACATGAGACCACGGTGGACCTAATGCTTATCAGAGGAGCCAGTTCTAACCTGGAGAGAAAATAATCAGTCTTGGTACACAGCAACATAATGCGATGTGAACGTATTTCTGAATTGTTTATTGTTTTGTGGACATTTGGTCCCATGTAAGCTGCCCTGAGTCCTTTAGGAGATATGGTAGTGGGGTATAAAAATAAAGTTGTTGTTGTTGTTATTGTTAAATCATTAACTCCCATGTTTTTCTATTTCTCTGATCCAGGCCTCTAAAAAAAAACCGGAACTTAAATGACAATAGAGGTGAAAAGAAATAAGTATTTTGGCCTCCATCTGATTGCCAGCCCTCTACTAGAGTAGACCTATTGCATCACTGGTGCATATGTAAGCAAACAGGAGGGTGACCATTCCCTGTAAATGCGGAAGCAATTGCTACAAAGGTAAAAACCGCAAGATTTCCAGAAATGGGAATGTTGCGGTTTTGAACCAAATATGTGGATCTTTGCATGTCTGTATGTCACTGCAATCACAATTTTTTAAAAATCTGGTCTTGTTCTCAGGTTTGTTCCTGTTTGGTTGGTTCCTTAAAAGAAGATGACACATTGAGTAAAAGGCAAAAACTTTGTTTGTGTGCCAGAAACTTCATGAAGCATGTGGAGGGCACATCTCTGGCCAGGACAAAGAACTGAACTTTTTCAGTGATTCACTTAAGTGATGCTCTACATATCTGCATCTTGAGATTTAACAAAAAAAATACCAAAGTTTCTAGCATACCAGTTTCTAGCAAAAAATCCTGGGACTTCAGAAGAGGTCCACATACAGACGTGTCGGTCCTGGGATTTCTGCCTCTGTTGAGTTTTTAAAAAATGCCAAAGTTTCTGGTGGAAGTCTCGTGGCAGCTACCCTGGGAGCCTCTAAATTTCACAATAAAGCATCAAGTCTGGACAACAGAGACAGAAATCCCAGGACCGACACGTCTGTATGTGGACCTCTTCTGAAGTCCCAGGATTTTTTGCCCCTGTTCAAAACCCATGATTTAGTGCTGTCTGGAAGCACCTTCCAACTCACTGAATGTGGGGAATAACCATTGGGGAATAACTAGGCCCTTGAGAAATTATTATGATGTCTACTCTCCACATATTCGCATATCCGATTCTCCATATATCCGCATATCCGCATCTTGAGTTTAAAAAAAAAAAAACCTGCTGAAGTTTCCGGTGGAAGTCCCATGGCAGCTACCCTGGAAGCCTCTAAATCTCACAATAAAGCATAAAGTCTGGACAACAGAGGCAGAAATCCCAGGACCGACACGTCTGTATGTGGACCTCTTCTGAAGTCCCGGGATTTTTTGCCCCTGTTTAAAACCCGTGATTTAATGCTGTCTGGAAGTGCCCTCCAACTCACTGAATGTGGGGAATAACCATTGGTCCTAGGCCCTCGAGAAATGATTATGAAGTCTACTCCTTAATCATTTGAAAATGCAGAAAGAGCCTTAGATATGCTCGAAAAATACACCACATGCTATGCATACATTCGCATTTCTTCACATATGCTGGAGTAGTCTTCAAATAACAAGCAAGGCTTACAATGGTATTTGACTGCACGAGGTACTTCTAGCTGACCTGTAATTTACTTTACAGCGATGTTTATAATCTCACTCAATATAACCCACTTGTGGGCAAATCTTTTCACAAGATTAGACAGTAGATGCCAAAATTAGGTTTCCAAACATATGCCTAATGTACGTGCGGGAGCAGCGGAGGGAGGGAGGGAAATATGAAGTGGATGGGTTTTGAAAGAAAACGCTGAAGTCCCTATCAACTGATCTTCATTGTTCTTGTTTTCCTCCTCACTTCAAAGAAGAAGAAGAAAAGCTTTATAAAAGGATTTTTCATTGTACAATGTGTTGAATAAATGACTTTGGGAAATGACAGGCAGGCAGCCTAACAGGTACGTCTCTTGCACTAAGGGTTTTTCCTCCCCTTTCTAGCTTCGGGTTTCTCTATTATTATATATTTAGTCTGACAATCTGAATTGGGTGAATTAAAGGGAGGAGGAGGAGGAGGAGGAGGAGGAGGAGGAGGAGATTTAGCATTTTCTGGCATGTATAACAGTTTGGCTGCTTTTAAAAATCCTTTAGAATAATATCTAACATTTCACCCTTTTACCAAAGCCAAGCATTTTCTATGAAGCAGGTTGCAATGTTTATCATGGGGTGTTGGGGGCATCTGCAGACAAATAGCTGAACCATCTATAAAGAGAAAAACTCAACCAGACGTGCAAATTCCTCAATTTTTGTTTGCAGGCTGAGAATAGGGAGGGAAGAGTAGGGTGGGGAATGCATGTCAGGAAGGAATAAGTCAGGGGTGTAAAGACATTGCAAAATGGTACATTATGTTATACACATTACAAACTAGAAGCTTTGAATGTGCTTAATTCTGTTTTCATTTTTTATATATATTTCTATATTTTAAATTACCACATATACTCGAGTATAAGCTGAGTTTTTCAGTCCTTTTTTAGGCTGGAAACAGTCCTCCTCGGCTTATACTCGAGTTAACATTATTTATTATTTTACTCTGTTATTATTTTATTACATATATTATTTTACTCTAATCATAATTATAATTATAATTATTACATTTCCATTATTTTACTCTATTTATTATTAAGTATAAGCTGAGTTTTTCAGCCCTTTTTTAGGCTGGAAACAGTCCTCCTCGGCTAATACTCGAGTCAACGTTATTTATTATTTTACTCTGTTATTATTATTTTATTACATTTATTATGTTACTCTAATTATAATTATTATTATTACATTTCCATTATTTTACTCTATTTATTATTATTAGTTACTAGCCGTCCCCTGCCACGCGTTGCTGTGGCCCAGTCTGGTGATCTGGAAAATAAAGTAATGAGAAAGTGTTTTTTTTTCTAATATATGTAATTTCTTTATGCTTGTAAACAATATTTTATTACTTTTTCTTACCCTAGTGAAGGGAGTATTTTCTGTTGGCCATGGGTGTTCTGTGTGGGAAGTCTGCCCTAATTCTATCATTCATTGGGTTCTGAATGCTCTTTGATTGTAGGTGAACTATAAATCCCAGTAACTACAACTCCCAAATGTCAAGTCTATTTCTTCCAAGCTCCATCTGTGTTCCTAGTTGGGCATATGGAATATCCGTGCCAAGTTTGGTCCAGATCCATCATTGTTTGAGTCCACAGTGCTCTATGGATGTAGGTGTACTGTAACTCCCAAACCCTTCTAGTATTTTCTGTTGGTCATGGGAGCTCTATGTGCCAAATTTGATCAATTCCATCACTGGTGGAGTTCAGAATGCTCTTTGATTGTAGGTGAACTATAAACCCCAGAAACTACAACACCCAAATGACAAACTCAATTTTTTTAGTGAGGGTCACTCATTGGGTAAGTAGGTGTCTTGTGGCCAAATATGGCAGCAATTCGTCCAGTAGTTTTTGAGTTATGTCAATCCCACAAACGAACATTACATTTTTATTTATATAGATTATTTTACTCTATTATTATTGTTATTACATTTGCATTATTTTACTCTGTTTATTATTAATATTATTACATTTATTATGTTACTCTATTTACT